TGTTAAAGTTCTGACGATACAAACCTAGAGGAAAGCTTCCAAGTGGTTTTCTAATTATGTTTTAATGATAATAAAAGCTATACAATAATGAATATATATGTTAATATGTCTAACATATTTTCATAAAAAGGTCTTTAAGTGTAGAAACCTTCAATTACAAAGAGTTTTGCAAGGAACAAATGAAGATAAGATTATATTGTCTAACATATAAGCTAAGTTTTAAATGGATATTTAAACCCATAAGACAATACAATGAAATGTGTTCATTAGACACTCCAAAAGATTAGAGTCAGATGACACAAAGTTATCAAATGCTCCAAGGTATAAGTTGATTAGACAATTGATCAAACAAGTTGGTTTTCAACGATAAGACAATTAGTTTTGGTATAATATCAAACGACTACTTAAATTTGTCTACTATTGATACAAGTTGATTAAAGAATATAAGCATTGTTTATACTCGAGTTCAACAAACACAGATGCATAAACATGATTTGTAGAATCAAATTATTTTGATGAAGCCACGCGAATGAATTCTAGCATTGGACTTAAAACACTTCATTAAAAGCACGACAATTGTTTGATCCATGTCATTTGGACTATTCCAAGACAAGTGAATGAGTTGTCACTTGAATCGCCTTTCTCAAGATAAGACTCTCTATCAAGAACACTAACTCTCCAAAACGACAGAGTTTTGTTACTCATTAATCAAGTCTGAAAAACTTATATAAATGATGGCTTTTATTTATAGGTAGATATGCTTAATGGGGAAAGGGCCAAAAAATATAACAACTTAGCAAAAAGTAATAACGTAACGGAAATTCAATCCCCCTTCTTGCGAGAATGTGCGAGGAGCACCAAACAAATAGAACAAAAAATAGAATCCAAAGCACAAAGAGACACCAACAATTTTTAACGTGTAAAACCCCTCAATGTAAGGGTAAAAACCACGAGTCGTCCAGACCAAAGAAAAATACACCATGATCAATAATACGATACAAAAGAGTCTCCAATAATAACACCAAATGGTATTTTCAATAAGCCAATTTAAATAAGCACAAATGCTTACAAATGAGAACAAAGAAGATGAAAATTCTCCAAAATAAGGCTGCTGGTGCGGGACAATTTTCTCCCCAATTAGACCTCCGATTCATAATCCGACCAGTCAGATTGAAGAACCATACGTCTGGAACCCACTGTCTAAAAATCAGCCCGATCCAACGGTGAACGACTTCACAACGACGAAAACACCAATGTAGGTTTAGGGTTATGCGGGAAATGCTTTCTATCTTCCTTTTTCTCTCACCTGGCTTTTTCCTCTCTTCAAATGACTCTAATGTGCCCAACTAGTCTGACCCATCTCCATTTAACCTAGTGAGACATAATGGTCCACATTATTTTGCCTATTCTCCACATAGGAAGGGAACCCAATAACCTAACAAATCTTCCCCTCACGACTATGTGGAGATATCCGCCAAATCAGCGGTCTCACAATAAACTTCAAACTTTCCTCTTGGCAATGCCTTGGTCATCATATTAGCACCATTATCATCTGTATTAACTTTAGCTAATTCCAACAACTTAGCATCCAAAACATCATGTATCCAATGATACCTCACATCAATATGTTTGGATTTAGAATGAAAACTTGGATTCTTACCAAGATGAATAACACTTTGACTGTCATAATACAACAAGTATTTACCTTGCCTAAAACCAAGCTCCTCTAAGAAATTCTTCACCCATAACAACTCCTTACATGCCTCAGTAAGTGCAATGGATTCTGCCTCAATAGTAGACAACGCTACACACTTTTATAACTTTGATTGTCAAGTCAAGGCTCCCCCTGCAAACTGAATCAAATAGCCTAAAGTGGACTTTCTGGATTCAATGTCTCTAGCCATATCTGAATATGAGTAACCCACCAAAGTAGATTTATCACCTCCAAAACAAAGCCTCAAACCACTAGTACCACGAAGATACCTCAAAATCCATTTCACAACATTCCAATGCTCTCTACCTGGATTTGACAAAAATCTACTAACTGTACCAACAACATGTGCAATATTAGGCCTTGTACATACCATTGCATACATCAAACTATCCACCGCAAAAGCATAAGGAACTTTGCTCATATCTATCTTCTCAGCTTCACTTGAAGAACTTTTTTTAACACTCAACTTAAAATGAGTAGCAAGAAGAGTTAAAATATATTTTTTTTGGTATCCGCGGGTACGCGAGTATCCGCGGGTTTTAAAATACCCGTGGGTATTTTCTAAACAGATACCCGCATAGGTAGCGGGTACAGTTTTATCTGGCAGGTCGGGTTGCGGGTAGGCACTATCCGTGCCCGACCCGACCAGTTGTCATCCATACTTGTAATAGTCATTCTCTAAAATTGTGTTTGGATGAAGTAATTTAAGAATAGATTTATTTATTTGGGAAATTTAAAATATTTTGAAGTAAAATAATTTGTTCGGATGAAACATTAAAAGAAATTTAAAATTAAAGAATTTTAAGGATGTATTTTAAATAACTAAAATAATATAATTTAAAATTTACTAAAAAAAAGAAGAAAATTGAAATTTTACAAGTTATGGAATTTTTCATTGGTCAGAATGAAGAAAGTTTATAAATCCAAAATGTTAATTCATATCAAGTTTTGGTTATATCAAATCATCTTGACATTTAGTTTGAGTCGACTCAACTCAACTATGAGTTTGGACAAACTTAACTTGACCTTCGGTCAAAACCAAATATCAAGTGGACTAGGTTTGGATCAATGGTCGAGTTGAATGGACCAGGGCCGAAATTCAACCCAATTCATCAAGCTAAAGGTTGAGTTATGTCAGTTCGTGTAAATTAGACAAAAACTAAAGCTCGAGTCGATTTAACCAGGACCAAAGATCAAGTTGAGTTGGACTGGGCCAAAGGTCGGTCTAAGTTAACCCGAGCAGTCGAGTCGAGTTAGTTTGGGGTAAGGTCGAGTGGAACCTAGGCCAAAGGACGAGTGGAATGGTACGACCCAGTGTCAAATGAAATTGACCTAGATTAAAGGTCGAATAAAGCCAGCCTGGACCGAAGGTCGAGTCGAATCAGCCCGAGCCAAACGTGAGCCGAGACAATCAGGGTCAAAGTTCGAGCCGAGTTGGTCCAGAGTGAATGTCCAGTCAATCAATTGAGGTCGAAGGTCGAGCAAAGTCGACAGGGACGAAGGAGGAGTGGAGTGGCCCAGACCAAATGTTGACAAGAGTCACCCTAGGTTGAAAGTCCTGTAAAGTCGGTTCAAGATGAAGGTTGAGTGAAGCTAGTTTAAGCTTAAGGTTGAGCCAAGTTAACCTAGGTCGAAGGTCGAGTTGATTTAGTCTGAGTTGAAAGTCGAGCCAAGTTGGTCCAGGCCGAAGGTCAAGTAAAGATAGCTTGGACCAAAGGTTGAGCCGAATTAGTCGGGGTTGAAGATCAAGCCAAAGGTCCACTCGAGCTAGTTGAGGCCGAAGGTTAAGTGAAATCAGCTCAGGGTGAAGGATTAATGGAGTGCCCTAGGCCAAATGTCAAGGGACTTGGCTTGGGTCGAAGGTCGAGCCAAGATAATTTAAGTCAATGATCGAGCCGATTAAGTTAGGTCAAAGGTCAAGCCAAGTCGAGCAACAGTGATGGTTGAGCCAAGTCAAGCTTAGGCCGAAGGTAGAGCTGAGTAAGAACAGGTCGAATGACGAGCCAAGTTAGCCCGAGAAGAGTTAAGCTTAATCGACATAGGGGGAAGGTTGAGCTGAGTTGGTTTGGGTCCGAGGTTGAGTTATGTCAGTTCGTCCCAAAGGTTGAGCCTTGTCAGTCCATCCCAAAGGTCGAGCTGAGTCAACCTATTTCGAAGGTCAAGCGAAATTGGCTTGGGTCGAAGTTCATGTCGAGTTGATAGGGCCTAAGCCGATTGTCGAGCTGAGTCGATTCATGCCGAAGGTTGAACCGAGTTGTCACAGTCGAAGGTCGAGCCAAGTTAGTGTGGCCAAAGTCGGGCCAAGTTGGTCTCGACCGAAGGTTGATCAAAGTCAGATCCAAACTAAAGGTCAAGTCAAGTCATCTGAGCGAAAGTCTAGTTATGTTGGCCTAACCCAAATGTCGAGTCAAGTTGATATGGGCTAAATGTCAACCCAAATCGATTTGTGTTGAATATTGAACTAAGTTGTCTCGAATTGAAATTAAAACAAGTTGTTCTAGATTGAAAGTTAAACTAACTCAACTTAGACTCAATGATAAAGTTGAGTTTTGATTAAAATATAAATTAAATTATTTTATCCAAACAAAAATAATTAAAATTTAAGTTATTTTAATTACTTTATCCAAACAAATTATTTAAAAAATTAAAAAAATCTCAATCACTCAAATATTATGTATTTCAATTTTTTAAAATTATTTAAATATCTTGTCCAAAACACAAGGTACAGTTTGCAAAAAAGGCATTATAAAATTTATGTTATCGCTTATGTCTTCTATTCACCCTTCGACTATGTATTTAAGGGTGTGTTTACTTTGGGGAGATGATTTGGGGAAGAGTGACTGAATGAATTTGAGAGTAAATTTTTTGTTATTTATTTGAGTGAATTTAAAGGTAAGTGAAACTGAATTTGAAAGTAAAGTTTATGAAAATTAGTGTAGGATTTGATCTGATGTGACATATGAAATCACTTAGTTTCATTAAATTTAAATTTTAAACATTTCGAAAACTTGACCACTATTTAATTTTACATTGTGTAACAACAATTAACATTAAATTGGTGACTATTCAATTTTTCACAAATATTAAATATGTCAAAAAAATATATAATATTAAGTTTAGTTTGATATATATATATATATATATATATATAAATTGAGCATCGAGTTAAAATAGCCGAGTGAAAAGTTTAATTCGTAGAAGAGAAAAATTAGGAGAAGAAATTGTTTGCGAAGAGCTTGAATAGCCGCATTTTCGGGGTATCATTACAAACATTGGAGATTTCCAAACCAAAAGTCTTGTCTTCTCTACTCCTACCATTTTTTTTTTGTCTATTCTTCATTCTGCCCCTCTCTTCATTCTCTTTGCATTTTGAGATATTCAAAACTTTTTGTGTGGTTTTTGAAGATGGGGCAACAATCTTTGATCTACAGCTTTGTGGCTCGAGGCACCATGATTCTTGCTGAGTACACTGAATTTTCTGGGAACTTCACCACCATTGCCTCTCAATGCCTGCAGAAGCTTCCTTCTACAAACAACAGATTCACCTACAATTGTGATGGCCACACTTTCAATTATCTTGTTGAAAGTGGATTCAGTACGTCATGCATCTTTCCATTTCATTTCATCATCCATACCTTTTTCGTCATTATTTGATCTAGATCTTCATCATTCTAGCTTTTGTTTTTCCATTTTTTTGGTTTCAATCACTGCACATGTTTGATAGCACATGTTTGAAATTGTTTCATATTATGTTGTTCCTTTTACAAAAGAAACAAGGATTGTAGGATCAGAATTTGATTGTATATGTTTGACTTTAAGAAAATAGAAACAGTTAAAAGGGGATCAAAGTTTAATGATGTTTTGTAAAATATTTGGTTGAAATTTTGGATTTTGTAGCCTACTGTGTGGTGGCTGTTGAATCTGCTGGTAGACAGCTTCCTATTGCTTTTCTGGAACGTGTGAAGGAAGAATTCAGCAAAAAATATGGTGCAGGAAAAGCTGCAACTGCTTCTGCTAAGAGCCTAAACAGAGAATTTGGGTACATTTTTTAATTACTATGATACATTTTCATGCACTTGAGAAAAAACAAATAATTTTTTATATGATGTCGTTCAATTATTTATGAGAAACCCTAATGTCTCTAACACTCTTTCTGATACTTTATTTATCATTAGATAGAGTTTTATTTCATCATTATATAGTTAATTATAAAAATTATCATGAGAATTTGGAAAATTTAAACATAATGAATGCATGGTTTTTGAAATGTTCAGGCCAAAACTGAAACAGCAAATGCAATACTGTGTTGATCATCCTGAAGAGATCAACAAACTTGCCAAAGTGAAGGCTCAAGTTTCTGAAGTGAAGGGTGTGATGATGGAAAACATCGAGAAGGCAAGATTTATATAAAAATGGTTAATTTAGAGTTATTTAAAACGGTTTTTTCCACCATTAATTATTATTATTATTATTATTATTATTATTGATGATTTGATTTGATTGAAATATCTATGAATTTGGTTTATTTTATAGGTGCTTGATCGAGGAGAAAAGATTGAGATGTTGGTGGATAAGACTGACAGTCTTCGCTCACAGGTTCCATTAATTTTTCTGTTTTTTTTTTCTGAGACAAATATATGTTTAATTTCTATAACATGATAATTTTTACTTAGTTTTTCTTAGTATTTTTTTTCGTAATATTTAATTGTTTTACATTATTCTTGCTTATGTCTTACTTAGATATATTAATTACTGTTGCAACATGTCATGTGATGACATGTTCTTTTACATAATTGTTAATTTAGTTCTTACAAATGAATTTTATTTTTACTTTTTTTCTCCAGTCACCCAAAAACTAATGATGAGTAGTAGAACAGAACACAGAAAAAAAAACATAACACAAGAACAAAAAAAATTATATAATTCTTCATCTAGTCTACATATTTACTAAGTTACTACATTTTAGCATTCTATCAAGTTTTAGTTATAAAAAAATCTCTATTAAAAAAAACTAACTTTAAATTTAAAGATATTTTAATAATTTTAAAATTTAATTTAAAATAAAAAAAATAGTTATTTATTATTCATTATTAATAGTTATTACCTTTTATTTTAAAAAACAACTAAAAATATAAAATAAAAGATAATAACTAGTAATAAACGTAGCACAATCATGATGTGATAAATAACAAATTTTATTTTTTTATTTTAAATTAAATTTTAAAATTATTAAAATACTCTTGAATTTAAAGTTAATTTTTTTAATAAAGATTTTTTTTAACCTAAAACTTATTACATTCTACTAAAATGTACTAACTAAAAAAAACTTTAAGTAAATTTGCAAACCATACATACATACATATATATATATATATATATATATATATATATATATATATATATATATTATCTTTAACCATATGAAATAGTAAAAATTAACGTATAATTTCGAAAGGACTAGAGAAAAAAAAATATAAAAACTTTACAAGATTAAAATAGTTTTATATAATTTTTAATTTAGTCTCTATAAACATATTGAAGAACTTCAATTTTTTTATTCTACAGTCATCCAAAAATTGAATGATAAACAAATAATAGCAAAAATAAAATAAAATTAAATATTATGAAACTTTATTTCTAAGATACAAAAAAAGAGAGTCAAGAATATAAATAATTTGAAACTTTAATGATGACTAGTCTACTTTATTACATTTTAATTTAGTCCTGCATTTATAGTCTCGTTTTATTTTAATCATTATGGTATTTTGATTTTAATCTCTGACTTTTTAAGCATCTAAATAATGGTAGAAAATTAACACAAATATTGAAACATTATATAAATTATTTTAAAAGCACTAAGAAAAGAAGCAGAAATTGAAAATATGTTTAAACCTTTTGTGCATCACTTGTTGTCGCAGGCACAAGACTTTAGAACACAGGGCACAAAGGTTAAAAGGAAGATGTGGGTTCAAAATATGAAGATCAAATTGATTGTTTTTGGCATCGTCTTAGCATTAATTTTGATCATGTTTATGTCAATATGTCGTGGCATCAGCTGCTTACAATAGGGTTTTTGTTTTTTCCTTTCCTTTGATCAATTTTGCAAGATTTAATTTGTTACATTTGTGCCTATATTCTTAATCTCATTGCTCATTATTCTTTAGTTAATTATATTATCTATGAATGGGCTTATGTCTAATATTTGTTAAATATGTACATATATCAAAAAGCAAGGTAAATAACATTATGATAAATATTGATATTTTTTGTTTCTAATACATAAATAAATATAATTTCAGTGCAATAATTTTTTTTAATAATTTTTATGTGATTTTATTATAAAAAAATCAATTTTACTATACATTATCTTTTAAATAAACCTTTTATCATTTGCTCGTCTTATTCTATAAATTTAAAATTATATTTGTATATGAATACTCATACTCATTTTAATACATCTATATACCAGTTAATAAACATGTATTTAATTATGTTATCTGTATTAATAAAATTTAAAAAACAATTAACGGAATTAAAATTAATATATTAAAACTATATATTTTTATTTTATTAAAAATATATCATTACTTATTATATAAAACTAATTTACCCGTCAAAATAGAAGCATATCTATATGTTTTCATTTCATATCAAATCAGTTTTGATAGCACTTTGATTAAAAAATTATTAATGTATTAGAATGATATAATTATTTTAAAGATAGATATATTTTTTTCTTTAAACTATATTGTGATTTTTATTTCGTTTTTATATGAAACTTAAGTTCTAGTACTTAACAATAAATTATTGACCAGTGTACCTTCTATTACCTCTCTCCTTTTTTTCTCTTCTTTCATGTTTGTTTTTCCTTCCACTTTTGTGGTGCTATTTTTCTCTATCCTTTATATAATATTTATCATCTTTCCATTTTTGTGTTTCTTCTTCTCCAACTCCATCACTCTACTACGCCTTGCTCCTCAGATATACCTCAAATATCTCATCTTAAGAACAACTAGAAAAACATTATGTAAGGATAGCCATGCTTCTAACTCCACCTTAAAAACAATGGATTTCTCCCCTTGTCCTAGTCGTGTTTACTCAAGAAAGCAAAGAATCTTCATATCCCTCCTTAACAAAAAAAAAAAAATAGATCAAATATTAAAACCATTATATACCTAAACTTAATTTTAAATTTTACAGCACAAGTTATGAGATTGAAAAGACTCTTTTAGTAGCACTTGAAGGATCAATGACAATGACACCAAAAAAACCTTTTTTAAGGACATTATCTTTTGTCCCACCCTAAAGGGAAGAAAACATCATCCCTACCTATAAACCCAATTGCTCATTCAAATTATAGGTTTGTACATGGGAACATGACTTATGTACAAACAATTGTAAGTAGCTTGACATTTAATGTTGCATTGTTATTTAAGGCTCTAAAAGTGCACTCAAGAAGGCTATAAAGAATGGGGCAAGCAACGGTGGTCCTCTCTCAAAGCTTCAATCATGTGTGAATACATGACTTCGTGATTTGGTGCGTGGCATGCATTGCATGGTTTTCCTGATTCTCCACATGTTCGTAGGCTTGAGTGTTTGAATTTCACTCAATTTGGAGAATCATGGGAGAGGGTGAAGTGTTGGGTGCCCACGAAGCAACCAAATATACCAACAAGTATACTGGATAATTTGTAATATAACAAGTGTCGTATCCACAGGGATTTGACAGAAAGCAAAATGCCTTAACTAGTTTAACTGTGAATGAAATAGTAAATGGGTTCTATAAAGTGTAAAACAAAGTTGGTTCATGAAAAAAAGTAACTTTGACAGTAAAACATGTTGTACAACAATTGGAGTTGAAAATGGTTGACTTCCAGATAATGAAAATGTGTTAAAGTTTGACTACACCACTCCATCCCTCTCTTGTAATGGTTCAATTTTAGTTATGAAGCTACAATTAATAATGTCCTAGGAGTTCTCTTTGAATGTCACTCTAGGTCCGTTCTTGGCACCTAGAGCTTAAGATCATCAAACTCTAGTATGATTTCTTAAAAAGAATGAATTTTTCACATTGTCCAAGTCTTGTTTACCCAAGACGCAAAGAATCCTTAGGTCCCTCCCCAGCAAAACATAGATCAAATATTAAAACCTTTATACCTAACCTCAATTTTAAATTTCACAACACAAGTTATGAGATTGAAAAGGCTGCTTTACTAGTACTTAGAGGATCAACAACAGTGGCACCAACAAAGCCTTTTCTTTTAAGGACATTATCTCGTGTCACACTCTGAAGGAAAGAAAACATCATCCTTACTTGTAAACCCAATTGCTCATTCCAATTGCCCATTCAAATTATAGGTTTGTACATGGAGGAACATGGTTATATATAAACAATTATAAGTAGTTTCATAGTTAACATAACATGTCACATTATAATTGAAGGCTCTTAAAGTTGTGGGTTGTGTTGCACTCAAGAAGATTGTGAAGAATAGGGCAAGCAACATCGATCCTTTCTAGAAGTTTCAATCATGCATACATGACTCTGCAATTTAGTGGGTGGCATGTACTGCATGGTTCTCTTGATTCTTCACTTGTTCATAGACTTAAGTGCTTGAATTTCACTCGATCTAGAGAATCGCGGGAGAGGGTGAAAGAGCGGGAAGAATGATTATGGAAGATAAGGAAGAAGAATCAAAAGGGATAAAATTATTTGTCACTTACAAAAAAAAGGTTATTTATAATATACTAAAAGGTTCTTTTTATTACAGTAAAAGAAAGGAAAGTATAATTGGATCATGAAAGAGAATACAAAAGTATCCTGTATTTAACAAACTACACACATGCTCAATATAAAGGTAGTAGAAAATGAAAAAAGCAAAATGGGAGGAAAATGTTGTCAACTATCATCTTAGAAATGATGGATAAAAATGAATATTGTTTTGGGGGCCGAATTCGAGGTTGGAGATGGTTGAGAAGCACTATAGCAGACTAGGCAGGACATGTAGGAGGTCAATCGAGCACTTTAGCAGACCGGATAAGACGTGTAAGAGATTCATTGAGCACTATAGTAGACCAGGCACGACGTATAAGAGACTAATTGAGCATTGTAGCAAACCAGGCAGGATGTGTAGGATACTTACGGAGTACTGTAGCAGATCGAATAGGCTACTGAGGAGATTGGCCGAGATGTTAGGAAGTTCGGCTACATTTTGTTTCGCTTATCCAAAACATGTGGGAGGTTACTTGCAGAAGGCATTATGATGCTTAAGTCAGTAGGTGACTGTTCGGATGACTAAAGATGCATATTGTGTGTCTGATCTAAAGTCATAACCGAGACCTTTATATAATAGTTGAGATGGGATTTTACCTTTTATCGGCCTAATGAAGGTTCAATCATACCTTAATCTTCATTTAGGAGCTAATTTGTCGGTGGATGGCCATTGGGAGATCGATCATGGATGAACGACCTAGTGGTCGGGCTATTGAACAAGTCGGTCGACCAAACTGTTGTGGAGCTCGACCATGCGGTTTTGGAGGTCGGGTTGGTGGCTGAACCGTACGATACACAAGTTCCCCAGGCCCGAGCATGATATAATGTGCGACGGGGTTAACATGCCATTTCTGATGAAGATGAATTCTCAGTTGGCACTTTGTCTTTGTGCGCTGTTGTACATTGATTAACCTGGGCTTGTTGATGATTGAAGTACCTCGTGAAATTGAGCAAAGGATTGGTTGAGAAGTTGAGGCCAATATGGCCGATAACTTTGAGACCATGGTTGGTCGAACACTTGATGAGGCCAAGGTTGGGCAAGCATTTGATGAGGCCAAGGATGGGCAAACACTTTGTGAGGCCAAGTATGACTAAGCACTTAATGAGGCCAAGGATGACCGAGCACTTAATGAGACACAGGTTTGCCTAGGACTTTATGAAGCCAAGGATTACCGAGTACCTATAAGGCCATGGTTGGCCGAGCACTTGATGAGGCCATGGTTAACCGAGCATTTGATGAGGCCATGGTTGGCTGAGCATTTAATGAGGCTAAGGTTGGCTGAGAATTGAGGCTTTAAGAGGCCGAGCTATTAAGAGTGTGACACGACCGTTGGAGGTGCAACAGAAGCTCACAAAAACGTTCTTTGCCAACCTATTGAAGGTGCAACAGGAGTTCACGAAAAACGTTCCCTTTTAACCTGTTAAAGGTGCAGTAGGAGTTCAAGAAGAACGTTCCCTGCTGACCTATTGAAGGTCTAACAGGAGCTCATGAAAAATGTTACATACTAACCTATTGAAGGTGCAGTAGGAGTGCACGAAGAAAGTTTCATGTCGACCTCTTGAAGGTACGACAAGAGTTCACAAAGAGCGATCCCTATTGACCTGTTAAAGATGCAATAGGACTTCATGAGGAAAATTCCTATCGACTTTGTTCCCTTTGACAAAAATTGGTCGATCGGTAGGCAGTGTCATGGGACTTGTATAGAAAGGAAAAAACAATCTACATTGGATGGTCAAAAACATCAAAATTGAAAGGTCGGTGCAAAATGAGACTGAGTAGTGTAATATTGGAAACAATTTAGGCTATAAGATGAATGGTGAAGTTGGGGAGATCAAATGGTCTATGCTTGATGCTTAGACGAAGATGGTCGTGCACTAAAATGAAAGTTAGGTCGTTGAGATTGAAGCTGAATAAGATTAGCGGGATGGGTAGTCATCCTCCCCTATGCCTTTCGTCTGACTCCTTGTGATTGCAATGGAATGCCCGCTTGGGCTCCACAGTGGGCAACAAAATGTTTCGGGGTGTAAGGGTCTTAGGTCAAATTCGAGGTTGAAGATGGTTGAGGAGCACTGTAACAGACCAGGAAGGACATGTCAGAGGCCGATCGAGCACTGTAGCAGACCGAGTAGGACGTGCATGACACTAACCGAGCATTGTAGCAAATCGAGCAGGACGTATAGGAGACTGACCGAGCATTATAGCAGACCAACAAGACGTGTAGAATATTGACCGAGCACTGTAGCAGACCAAATAGGCTACTAAGGAGCCTGGCTGGGCTGTTTAGAAGCTCAG